CTGCGTGCCTGTCCCGGTCGATGGCAGATATAGAATGCTCCAAATCACATGTGCATTTCTATGGGCCATTGCTCCCCGTGCCTCTCTGAGGGGGCCAGAATCTGGCTCGTGGTCCCCGGTAGGCCTAGAACTCCACCCACATCGACTGATGCAAAATAGTTAGGGTATCCATATCAGCCATGGATAGCTCCGGGGAGCTGTAGGGGCTCCCCCTAGAAAAACTATGAAAAATCAATCAGAGACATTGAAATAATTAGGTAATTATCTCTTTGTGGCAACTCCGGCCTGACAGCTGGCGATCAACAGACCGCCTGGGACGCACACTGAGTCAGCTCCTGTTTTTTGCCAGACTTCCCCGCCCTGTAGCGGGCAATATATGCCACTTACGATTTTTTTTATTATTTTCCCATGATCAGTGAACACAAAGTAACAGGTTAGGAAGAAAAAAAGTTTTTTTTTTTTTTTTTTTTTTTTTTTTTGGTATGCGCCTGTGGGTGTCAAATGGTATATAGCCATGCGCCATTTGACCCTTTAACTGCACGGCCTATAAATATGACATCCCCCAGTGCGCAGGAAATGAAACCTTGGGAAAAAATTATTTTTTCCTCGGAAAGTGTCAAAAACCCCTCCCTGTATATGGGTATAGCAACACAAGTTCGAAATTGTACTTACTTTGGCTGCTATGGGGTCCGAAAGGTGGGCCATGAAGTCATAATTCCCCGTGCGCCAGAGCAGTATGCACCCGGGGCCGGTGGGGCGCCCAGGGTAGGGCGCGCGAGTTGCCGCGAATATATTTTTGCACATTTTTTGCGCACAGTTCCAAATACATTTTATTTGTTTTTACATGCTAATCCTATGTATAATGAACACGTACACTATATTATGGCAGTAAAACATCCGTACTGTCCGAAGACACTGTGTTACGTGCATGACACTTGTGTACACATATGTTGTACATATTTACCATGTATCATGCTAATTTATGTATATATACAATTTATGTACAGACAATACACTGTCACATATTATATACATTCACCATCAACACATTCAGAACACCGCGAGTGTGAGCAGCCACACCCAGCCCTCCCTCACTCCTCCAACTCGCCAACATTGCTCCTCCACATCATACAGTTATTCACACCAATGTTTCATGTTCATTTATGTATATTTACAACATATGTACACACGCTACACTGTCACACAGTATATACATTCACCATCAACACACTCAGAACACCGCGAGTGTGAGCAGCCACACCCAGCCAGCCCTCCCTCACTCCAACATCTTACTCGCCAACATTGCTTGCTCCTCCCACCATACTGTTATTGTATTTATTACACAATTTACACATGTTATATATACCTATCTACATGTTTTATTTACCAGAACTATGCAAGTAAGCTGGTATTGTGTCCAAACAGTATAGTGGCCACCATACACTGCATGACAAATCACACAGCAGACAGCAGACGACGCCACGATTACGATGACACCTCCCTCAACAAAATAGCTCCTCACAATATACTCCTGGTGCTGTTATTACACTATTCCACACACACTGTATATACCCATGTACATGTGTGTTCCCCATAGCGAACCACAAAGCTAGTATGGTTAGCAAAACAAGAGTTACTGCCACACAGTGAGGCTTCCTCAATTCTCTTCCTTCCTCCCTCACCAAAATTTCTTCTTCCTACAAACAACGCTCATTATAACCACAATCCTGGTCACTAATACCTGTAAATGAATAATTGACCACAAGTTTATTTTAAAAAGGAACCTAAAAAGTCGTTTGAAGATTCCTAGATGGACGAAATAATGCTATTGTGCTGTGGCTAACGCTGTGAACATCGTGAACAGCATTGAATCACTGATATTTGAACATTGTCCCCAGTCATTATCACACTCGGGCTCTTCTATAATACTATCATGGCTAAATAAAACAGATTATATATATATCTTGACAATATTAGGCAATGCTGTGGTCACACGCTGAACAGCAGTGCTGTGCGCTCATGCTGCGAGCGCCAGCCTTGGTTGCTCACTCACTACTGAGGCTCTGACACCCGGCAATGTGGACCATGATTTTTTTTAAGATGGCGTCTTGTTACAAGACCCCTGAGGAAGCTGATGTGAACCCCATGTAGCCGCGGGAGTTTTGAATGGAATGTGAAAAATAAAAACACCCGGGGGCGCGTTGCGCACCCTAAGCCTGGGCCTGCAGGCGCGTTGCGCAGTTAAAGGGTTAAGGGTTAAATGGTCCCCAGAGAGAAACCTCGGCTGCTGCCGAATGAATGCTGTGCAGTACGCCCCATCCAGAAAGCAGTACGTCCCATCCACCACAAACCCACTCCCTATCCGGGACAAGACGGGGAAGCCCAAGACCCCCGGCAAACCCCAAGGGCAAGAACAACACTAAGTGATGAAGGCCTCAAACGGGAGTGAAACCCGAACGACCCAGGAAAGGTAACCCTGAATCGCAAGGGAAGTACCTACTGGACACCTAATGAAGGGAACCCTAGGGGCATGCAGCTGGTAGACTTGTAGGAACACCAGGCCACCACACACAGCCAGCAAAGACAGACAAAAGCTTGAGGCCAGAAAGGAATTCCGACACCTGGCACATCAGTGGACAAACTGAGGGTAATGCAGCCTGCTCACCTGAGCAGGGTCCCCCCCTCCCCCTCCCCCTTTTGGAGGAGTGTGAGGCGCTAATAAGCAGGCAGGCTAGTTGAATGATGTGTTGTTTGTTTCACTGTTTTCAATTCAGGGAAGTTCTGGGCCTCTGTTCAGACATAGGTTGCAATTTTAACCAGTTAGAGGTTTGTAATGGTTCACCCACCTTTCTAAGTGCCTTCCACGGTCAATGGCAAAAATAACAAACTCTAAATGTAGAGCTCATGTGGCCATTTTTGCTCCCTGTACCTCTCTGAGGGGCAAGGTTCTGACTTGTGGCCCCATGGTAGGCACTCGAACTCCAAGGACTGATGGCACCTAACTAATATGGCAACTTTTCAGTTTGACAGCTTCAGGGAGCCGACGGGGCTCCCCTCAGAAAATGGTGCTCGGCACAGCTGTGAAGTCACGAGGGGGAAGCAACAACCCTTCTGGAGATCATGTGACCCTGGGAAACCAATGGGAGGTAATCTGTTAGACCATGCACCACTTGGTCTGTCTCATGACTGGTTGCCACTTGTCAATTACTGCCAAGACATCCTTTAGGATGTCATGAATTTCACACTCAAACATTCTGGATAATTCTTTGTGTTCTTCAGAACTTATCCATATAGGCCCTTTCCCATCCTCCCCACCAGTATGTCGGCCTGGATCATCTTTTGTTGGCTGGGTATCTTCAATTGTCTTCACCTTGGGAAAGTCTGCATTCTGCAGTTTTCTCGAGTAATTTTCCCATATGTCCTTCACTTCTACCTTAATTTGGAGCCATGGGAAAATGGCATTGGAATGCTGTCTACAACATACTGCTCAAAAATAGAGCACCATTTTCAATGAAACATGTTTCTGAGTAGCACCTCAATAAGGCCTCGTTCCCACAATTGAATTTGTGCCTAACTCAAGTGTGCTTGATTGGATGGGTGTAAAATGGGGATAGTCATCTACACAACCCTGTTTAGCCACCAGAGCTGCCACCTGGTGACAGTTACTGTAGTTAGTTATTGGGTAACCTAAGTAGTTCAAAATGATTCTTGGCAATTTTTCAGTTGCCAAGTATAGTTTGGACAGGGTGTCGAGTGGCTTCAAACATTCCATGTGTTAGCGTGGGTGGTCTATTCATGACAGTGGATTGAACTATGCTCTCCAATGAGTTGTATGACCTTTACATTGTAGCTTAACACACTTTGGAAAAGTACTTATTCTGTTGGGCCTAAAATGTTGCTCAGAAATTAGCAAACTCGCAGTGTCCTGAGAGGATCCAGTGATGAAGCATTGGACAGGTACCAAAGTGTGACTCCAAAGGGCATTTCATTCTGCTCAAAGCTCAGTTTTTTTGTTTTCACTTCTACTCAAGGCACTTTGAAACAAACTCAATGGAAGAAAATTATAGAAAATGTAAGAATAGCATTTATGTTATTTTAATATTCTCACTGACTCCTGCCTGCTCATGTACCACCTACTGGCAACCATTTTTGGCTGCCATGCTTTCCTGTGTGGAATTCACAATTCTTATGATTGGTCATCCAAATTCAATGAAAACAGCCAGATGTACAATGACAATTCTGGCAGAAAATCATCCCAGCGGTACCAAAAGCAGCCAAACTCAACATGGCAATGGCTGTAGATGTTCATGACAAAATCAGAGCAATTTCTGTCAAGCAGAGAGTGGCTATAGCAACTCGTGGATCAAAAGAAATTAACAAGGGAAAAATTATTATAAGACAAGACATTTGGGCATTTTTCCTTCAAGCTAATGCTTTCATTTTCCTAGCAGTAAATAGGTACCTGGGAATTAAACAACTGTTGTGGGTTGCAGCCTGGGAAAGGTCAGTCATTGGCCTAGGAAAACCTCAATAAGCCTAGCAGACTTCCTCTCCCTGACAATGGTCAACCATTGATGCAACTTCAGATAAACATGAACTCATCAATGTACGTTAAAGAAAATAAACTCCCGTATAGTATAGCAGTCAGGGTCGGAACAACACTTGGTGTATCAATCATTTCAATTCCCACTTTCACGAGATGGGGAGGCACAAGCCCAGAAAAAACAAGCAGAGCACTGAGGTATAAGAAGGTTTTACATACTGAAATAAATCGTACACATCCATCAAATGGACGAGTCCTTCAAACAAATTCAGGTTCTCTCGTTATTATCTAAAAACTAAACAAAGAAAACAAAATGGTTGGCATAATAATGAACATCAATAAATAACTATAACAAAATAAAGCTGTGTCCCCCCCCCCCCCTGGGTAACCCCAAATAGTATAACTTAATAGAAATATCAGCTGCTACAGATATTTAAAACAATCCACAATTCCTTACTTGTTGTTCATTAGCAGCCTGCAGAAGATGGCACTGATAATTCTGGTCTGCAGGAACATTGGCAGGAATAAGCTGTGATGGATCTGCTGCGGCCACATATCCAGCTGCACCAAACACTGACCCGTGTTCCTTATCCACAGGCTTAAGTGTGTACAAGAAGCAAGTATGGTCAGCCTGTTCCATAACACATTTGTGTATTTGTTTAACCATGTGGCTTAATATCACAATGCCTGTCGAAACTTCACGAATTGTAACATTTCCTCTGTTGATTTCAACCGTCACCTGAAAAATAAACTTGGAGTAAAAACCAACATTAAATGCCATGAAATGCCTCTTTCTGGTAGGGTTTTAGTGGCACCCTGAAGCAAGCGCTCTGTGATATTTCCACACAGAGGAGTCACATCAGCTTTAGAAGTCCTGAATGGTTTACTGGGGACAAGAGCTAGAACCTGGTTTCCCCCTCTCAAAACACAGGGAACATGGAATTTTTACAATCACTCATTTTTCTTCAGAAAACATGCAGAATGTAAGCAAAGCCATTCATGTAACTGCATGGTTCATAGAAAACAATGCACCAAAACTGCTAAGCAACTCTGCAAACAATTAAATCAAAACAAATGGTTCGCTAGAAACTAGCTTGAACTCCTTAGTGCAAATGGCCATCAACAGGTAGCATTCCATTGTAACTGACTACCATCCAGCCCCAGGTCAGTCCAGAGCTGATACACTATAAATTGGCACACCTGGTAGAGAGACGGAGTGAGTATGGGAGCCACCTAGACCAGATTCATGAATGATTTATGGTAGGAAACTCTTCCTTTTTATCGCCTTCGAGGCAGTTATGTCACGCTTCAACAAACCATTTATGAACACAAGTCTTCCCAATAACATACATACCTTTGCAACACAATACCTCTAAAGCATTCCCATCCTTCTAATATTATTAAAATGCCTTCCCTGTTAATAGGAAATGAAACAAAAATTAAGTGACACATTTTGGCAGTGGAGGAGAGAGTAGCTCTCACGATGACGTCATGATTCATGAATATTCATGGAGCGATCTCCCCATGGAGGTTGCTCCGGGTCAAGCATGGGGCGGGAGTTGTCGCGAAAACATTTGTACACATGCATTTCAATGTCATGGCTTGATTTTCAATTTTTTTTGCAGTAATATTATTAAATAATGTGTCATTTGATGAATTTATATAATAAACTGTGTAGAACATTGGTATGCTCAAATATATTCGCCTCAGCAATATGTGCACCATATTATATTCTTAGAACAATATCACACTGTTTTTGCTGTTATTACACTGTATACATACATTCTATATAACTATTTACATTTGTATGCATTATTATGAACCCCTAAGCAGTCCTGGTGGGTGTAATAATCTCAGAACCAGTGATGAGAATTCAACCCCAGCCCCACATTTTGCATGAAGTTATAAATGCACACACTGAAAACATTATATTTTCGTTGTATTTTTAATGATTTTACCATTTTTTCTGGAGGGAGCCCCCAATGTTATTATTAGTAATGGTAATGTCTTCTCACAGACATAATAACATAGGAAAAAACCCACACTTGTGAACATGTGAAATTTATGTAAGGAATTTACACCAAGTCTTTCACTCTCTCCTGAGTGCTTTATCAAGGTCTGCGTGTGTGGTTAGGACAAGATTTACATCTTAACGGTTAATGAGGCTGCTATCCTGGGTCCAGTCCCCCACGGTGTTTAGGGAAGCAAGAACTGGAGGTGGTGGTGACCCACACTTGGTCTAAGTCTGCACCTCCCTTTTCTTCCCATACGGGTGTGGTTTGCCCGGCTTCTCGCTTTTTTTACATGAAGGACCCAACCTGTTTTGATATGGGTGCGTGTGTGTGCTTTTTGGTTGTAGTATGTCTTGGGCTCATCCAGGCTAGCTGACAACCATGTCATTTCCTTGGTGCTTGGCTGGGGTTCTGTCAGACCAGCATGCATGAGTGATGGGAGGCGAGCTCTGTCTTTCAGGTGTTCCTGAGAACAGCTTTATCTGCTCCATTCATGAGCTGCCTGTTTGCCCCCAGTGCTTCCCAAGAATGTGGGCAAGTGGCAGTTGCATGTGCTGCTGCTTGTGCTGTCTGGGGCCCCTAATTACATCATACCTGTTTTTACCTCATGCTTATTCTTATTACCTTATACAATGTTTTTGAGTGTCTGGGTCTACAAGAGGGGGATCTTTGGGCATCTCAGTGAGGATGTGGCATCGCTGGGGTCTGCTCTGAGGGCGGATGCTGTGTGGTCCGCAGTTTCAGCAGCTTTGCCCAAGATGCTAGCCCCTCTCCTTTGGTGGGTGTTGACGGCATCCGCCTCACGTGTCAACAAGCCATGTTGGCCCATTCTTTAGATTCAACTTGGTTTCTCACCCTTCTGGCTGCCTCCCCCTCTTTTCTCCCCTTCTCTTTCTGGAGGTCATTGCTCAGATATTGCCCAGATTGTGTCTGCAGGGGGTTTCTCCTGCTGCCCTATAAATCAGTTGTTTATAGACAAAACCTTAAGTTGTTTACTTAGGATTCTGTTCCCTATTGGAGGTAGTGGAGGTGGTCTGGTCAGGTGGGAACCTCACCTGTTGTTGGTCTGGGTAAGTCCTTAGATTGGTCAGGTTCTTGGCCATTGTGCTTCCGAATCAGGTTTTACATTTGACGTCACAATGACACATTGTGGAAAGTTGGTTACACTCAAGGTTCATGCTGGCCCTGTAGCGGTTCACCCCTTTGATGCTACCATTGTGGGGTGGGTATTTGGCTCCTTTTGCCAGCTCTAGGTTCCAGGATTTGTGGGCCTTTTGTCTCATTTTCCATGGCCTATAGTGGAGCTGGTCAGTTCCTCCCACCCCCACTCTTTTTTTTTTATTACTATTACAGTATTTTTCTACCTCAGACGTGGCCACACATTTACAATGCTAACCAGCATGAGTACATTTTCTTTTGTCCTTCATGACCAGGGTTAGAGATCTGATAAACATATACAGTAGTCCAGTGATTTATTGAACAACCACAAAAGGTGATTGTAGTGCTTTTAAAATGCTAATCATACATAAATACATTGATTTATGTCTGCCCCACATAAACAGTGCTCAAGGTATGTTTTTTTACATAAATATGCATTTACAGTGGTACCTCGGATTATGAGCGTTCCTGTTTACGAGTTTTTCAGGTTACGAGCAGGATTTGCTCGGAAAATTTACATCGGAATATGAGTGTTGCCTCGGAATACGAGGGTGTTGATACACATTCAGGCCGACCTAGCGCATGGTGGCATGGTAATCGCGCCTCAGTTTACCAGAGCCTCGCGCCCAGTGACTATCCCACCTGAATTCGTCACAAGGATTTACAGTTTTTGTCAGATTTTTGGCCATTTGAGCATAAAAGTTGTTATTATATATCTCGCCATGGGTTACCTTACCTTGAGGTTACCTTGTGGTGCTTCCGGGGCTTAGCGTCCCCGCGGCCCGGTCGTCGACCAGGCCTCCTGGTTGCCGGACTGATCAACCAGGCTGTTGGACGCGGCTGCTCGCAGCCTGACGTACGAGTCACAGCCTGGTTGATCAGGTATCCTTTGGAGGTGCTTATCCTGTTCTCTCTTGAACACTGTGAGGGGTCGGCCAGTTATGGGTCCCAAGAAAGCCAGTGGTAAGGTTCAACCTAAGAGAATAGTTGTGAGTAGAGGCAGTAGAGGATGTCCATTCCTCATTAAGAAAATGTGTGAAGTATGGGATGAACTGCAAAGTTTTGTTGACAAAACTCACCCAGATAAAGCTGTAGCAGGCCATTGCATTGACCTTTTAAATGACAATGTGATGTCTTACTACAGACAAGTGTTAAAATGTAGGGAAAAACAAGTGTCTTTAGATAGATCCTTAGTAAGACAAGCAAGCAGTGAGCCACAAGGTCCTAGTGGTATGTAGGCAAAACATGCCAGAGAGTGCACTCCAGAAAAATCTTTACTGCCTGATATTATAATGTAAGGGGACTCCCCTTCCAAACAGTAACACCTCTCCTCCTCCCTCCTCCTCACCATCTTCCATACACCAACAGGAGTCATCCGCAAGGGTAAGTAATAACTTGAACATACTTTTGTACTGTAGATTTGGATAAATTAGGTATAAAATTTAGTTTGAAGTGAGATTTTTGGGTAGTCAGGAATGGATTAATTCATTTCCCATTATTTCTTATGGGGAAATTAGCTTCGGTTTACAAGTTTTCGGATTATGGGCTGTCTCCAGGAATGGATTAAACTCTTAAACCGAGGTACCCCTGTACAAGGTTAAATACAATTCTGACCAGCTTATTTGGGGTCGGGCATGTTGGGTCAGGAGTCCTTCCCAGAAACGAGTTGGGTCACTGCTGGTTGGTTGACATCAGGCATGGTCAAGGTGACCTCATCCCTTCAGTGGGTGTCCCAGTTGTTCCTGGTCCCAAAGCGGGACTCACCAGACCTATGGTATATCCTCCATCTCTCTGGTCTGAACAACTACAATCTCTGTCCAACCTTCCGCATGACCACCTTCACCCAAGCTCGCCTGTTGTTGCACTACCCAGGGCAACTATCTCCACCCTGGCGGCCTGGCCACTCAGGGGCAAACTTCCGAGCACACACCAGTGTTACTGTCAGTGCAGGGTCAGTGCTAGGCACGTACCTACGGAAAGGTCATCCCTAGACACGTGAAGCTTGTAGTGAATAAAAGACCAAGTTCACACAAGTGTGGCACTGAAACATGTTCGTGAAACAAATCCTAAAGATTTGGAATGACAAACAAATGGCCCTCACAAGACAAAGTCCAAATGATGGCGGCAATTAGCTGAGAAAGAGGAGGAACTCACTATGATAAGAAGACTTGAGAAGATCTACATGATAGCACATGAGTGAAAGGACTGACCTGGAGCTAGCTGGCAGTTGGAAGCTCTGGGAATGCCATATGTTGGTATCCACATACACTAGAGGGTTTGAGTTGGTTTTGAGTGAACTACTTGCTTTGAATAAATCGTTTGTATAGTTATTTGGCTGTTTCCATGCTTTGTTTTCTATGAACCTTACAGTTGTTTGCATTGCTTCACTGACTATGGGTGATCATAACAATCCCCAGCTCTCTATGCCTCTAAAGAGAGAGCCAGGTTCTGACTCTGGTTCCCAGTAGGCCAAACAAGACTCCTACAATTGATGTGACTCAAAAGTCATCTTAGTGTGATAGCTTTAGGGGGCCACCATGGGGCTTCCCTAGAAAAAAAATATTATTTACAGGTCACATCCATATTCAATTTTGAAAAATGGTTAACATTTAAAACAAGAATTTAAATTTAAGCACTGACCTTAATTGATTTTTGTCGATTCTTGATCTCAGAGATGATCCATGGCAGCATAGGTTTGGAGTAGTGTCGATCTACTTCTGTGCTCCCTCGATACACCAAAAAAAATGCCTCCCCTCTATCTCCCAATAACCCAGTGTTATCCATGCCCTCCATCATTCACTAATGGAGATCTTACAGCAGATCATTAGTTTTTCTACTATGCCTTCTCGATGGAGAGCTCATTTTTTATTTCATCACCCATCTTAGCACAAGCATATCTGTAGGAAATACATTTCATATCAATAATTTAACTAAAATCAATATTTTACTTATCTCCATATCGGTATTAAAACTATAAGAATACAGGAAACTGCAGAAGACTTACTGACCCATGCAAGGCAGTTCCTATTTCTGGGGGAAGCCCCTTATGGCTCCCTGAACCTGTACACTGAGATGGTTCCCATCTACCAAGTCGTAGTAGCCACGGAGTTCTTTAGGTCTACTAGGGAGCCAGTCGGCCGAGCGGACAGGACACTGGACTTGTGATCCTGTGGTCCTGGGTTCGATCACAGGCGCTGGCGAGAAACAATGGGCAGAGTTTCTTTCACCCTATGCCCCTGTTACCTAGCAGTAAAATAGGTACCTAGGTGTTAGTCAGCTGTCACGGGCTGCTTCCTGGGGGTGGAGGCCTGGTCGAGGACCGGGCTGCGGGGACACTAAAAGCCCCGAAATCATCTCAAGATAACCTCAAGGGACCAGAGCCAGAACCTGGTCCCCTTCACAGAGGTGCAGGGTGTGGTGACATTTTACCACTTCACTGAGGTAGACATCCAGAAAGTCAGCGAGTCAATAAACCACTGCAGGTTTTAGAGACAAAGCCTCAAAACCCACCTAATGTTTTAATAACCAAAACCTCCAGCTATGTAAACAACTAATCGGATGTCTCAAAACTAGCATGAGCTTGTTTGCCCCACCTACCCTACTCATTTGAAGGGAGTGGAAAGAAGGGCTCACCACCTCTCATGGTCTGAGCTGTCACTTCTTACACTTATACCATTGGGGTTACCTGACTGCTATAGTTGTTCCTGGGTCTCCTCTTTTGTGGGCGCCACTGTTTCAGCTAAGAGATTTTTTTTTCTGGTAGAGTGCTTGGACTTGCATGTACTCAGGGTTATCTTTCCTATGTGCTCTCTAGTGCTGCTCTTGCATTGCCAGTTATCTTCTCTGGAATATTTGGGAGTCATTCTCTTAGAGGTCCTGCTGGCTTGTGGTGCCCCTTGCCCAAGGTGAGCCAGGGGCCTTGTGCCTTTCTTTCTGTACTCGGGTCAAGTGCAACTTTCGCTGGCGGGCCACACTGGTAGTTTACAGGCTTCCCTTCAGCTCGCTGAGGTCAGCCTATCATAACCACATAACTTAGACCGTGTAGGCTTACTTTTAGGTCTGGCATAACATTCCCAGTTCCTGGGGGTGTCCTGTTTGGTTTACCCTTCTGGCCCTGGAAATCCCCTATGGGTTTAGTGGTTCTATGTATATTCCCCCAAACCTGCTCTCTCATTGTGCGAGAATGAGGGTTGCTCGCTGTCTGTGTCATGTGGTGACCATCACTTATCTTGCTTTTCCCATGCTGCCTGTTGGTTTGTTATCCCCAAGTGACATCTTTCTGAGCCTTCTGATGAGGTTAGGGCATATCAAGCAGCTTCTGCTTTGCGAGGTCATTTTGCTCGGATGCAGTGGTCTATCTTATGTGCCGATTGGATGCTCTTGAGCTGTCCCATTTGGTGTCTAGTGACCCAGAATTGGAGGCATTTGTGAACTCCACCTTGGCTCCTGTCTGCACATCCTCTTCCTTCCACTTCGGGCTTGGGTCACCCTTCTTCTGATCCTTACCCCCCCCTGCTCCTAACCCCAAAACATTTGAGGGTTTCAGGGTTTGGGACAGGGATTAGCTTGTGATGTTGCTCAGCTAGCTCCAGGGGTTGCCCCTTCCAGATCAGGCAAGGAGGCCGTTGAGCAGGCTAGTTCTGCTAAGTGCTTTCCTTTCAACCAGCCCCTCCCCCCTCCCCAAATCTTTTGAAGCTTCTCCCATAGACTCCGCTTTTCTATCCCGGGCAGTGGACATGGATGCTGGCTGTACCCCAGGGCCCTCAAGTGCAGCTTCTGGGGCTCGAGGGAGTCTGATATGAGTCCCGTTTCATTCCAAGTGGTTCCTTGTTCACTCCGAAGAGAGTTTCCTTTTGCAAGGGGAGGAGGTTTCATAGCCTCTCTCCCTGTATGAGTATGATTTGGGTGCGGCTCACTCCTGGGGTTTAGTTCCGTGTGCTTTTGGGGCACGTCAGGATCATCTTTGCAGTTTCCTTCCTCTTGGGTCCCTCCTCTGGCGGGTCGGGAGGCTCTTTTTACATACCTCCTAAGACCCAGATTATGCCTTTTTGATGGACCCGTCTTTCTTTTAGATTTGGGTCTTCCTTTTTGGATGCATTTTGAGGTTCCAGAGGCTTTCTGGCTAGCTGACATTCCTTTGTTCTCACTTGGAGTTGAGCACAGCTTTTGGTGTACCTGCAAGCGTGAGCAGTATGAGGTGTTGACCGTATTGCAGGTGTTCCATAGGGGCCTTTCTTTTTCGACCCTCAATGACTGTTTACTCCCTTTTTCTTTCAAGATGTTGGTATCCAGCAGCACCATGTCCAGGTGCCATAGTTGTCTACAGCGCTTGTGGTTCATGACTTTTGTGCCTGTTTGCATTTGGGTTCCATCCTGCAGTTTCTGAGCCTCCTTAAGCACATATTGACTGGCTCTGGAAGGATGCAGGGGCATTTGCAGGACCTAATGTGGGGTTTTGGCCTCAACTGTAGCTGTTTTGGCTACTTTTCCCAAGTTGTATGCTCCCATGCTCCAGGAGGCGATGGCCATATTCTTCACTGCCAGACTTGCGTGTCGGCAGGCTGTGTTGGCCCAGTCTTGGGAGTCAACACGGACCCTGGTTCTCTTGTCTTGCTTCCCACTTTTCTCCTCTCCTTTTTCCTGAGGAAGTGTTGTCCCAGTTTCTTTCTTTGGCAGCTGCTGCTTTCTGTCTTATTTTGGACCTCCTAATTCCAATTCTTGGGGTCTTGTTCTCGTCTTTAGAGGTGGTCGGATAGAACCCTTGACACCTGTTGTGTGTCAAGGTACGCCTTCTGCACTATTAGATTCCAAGTTGCAAGTACTTCCCTTATCTAGCCCTTCTCCATCTGGTTTGCAGTGTACTCACTCTTCATAGGATGCACCAGTTTGTTGTGGTTCACACTGCCCTTTCATGGTTTGCCCCTTTGACAGGAAAGTGGGGGAGGGGGGCAGCTCACCCAGTTTGCTGGCTCCTGATCCCAAGATCTGTGGACTTTTTAGATTGTTCCCACGGCTTGCAGTACAGGTCCATCGGTTTCTTCCCCAACTGGGGTTTGGGTTCTTTCCCTTGCTTGCATTGGGTCGCCTCGGAGCGGGTGGCTTCTGGCATGGTTGAAAAGACTGCGCCACTTGGAATAAAGGTTGAAAATATAAACCTAATTACACTGTACATTACCGGCATGATGGTCACTTTTCTGACGTCGAGCAAAATTACAGGTGGGACAGTAAACCTTCGTTTTTATAATATAAAATAAGTAATTATCACAAGAAGGCACCAAGCCGGGGCGATTATGTAGCACCTTTTAATTAATAACACAGTATTAAATAAATTAAATAATATTTAAATAAATATTAAAATGAGAAATATCAAATAGAAATGCTCACGTGTTAACAATTTGCCAAAATTTAACAAGGGAACAAAACTGGGCATGGTAGATAAGTACAGTACTGTACAATGGAACCTTGGTTACCAAACATCCCTCTACAAATTGTTCGGGTTACAAGCTCAATTTCTTCGTAAAACTTGAATCGGTTTACGCGCTTTACCTCTATTTGCGAGTTTGTTGATACACGTATGGGTCGACCAAGCACGTGCTTCCTGGTGGCATGGGCGATCGCGCTTCAGTTTACCAGTGCCTCCCGCCTAGTGATGATTGCGCTTGAATTCTTTGTAAAGAATTTCATTGTTTTTCAGATTTTTTTATTTCTAAATATAAAAGTAATTATTATATACCACACCATGGGGGTCCCTTGAAAGTCAATGGTAAGGTTCAATCTAAGAAAACACATGTGAGGATGACCATAGAGGAAAAACAAGTCTCTATGGAAAGGTTCTTAGTGAGACAAACAAGCAGTGAGCCACAACCAGGTCCTAGTGGTATGCAGGCAAAATGTAGGAGAGAGAGTTATCTTGAGGTTATCTTGAGATAATTTCAGGGCTTTTTAGTGTCCCCGCGGTCCAGTCCTCGACCAGGCCTCCACCCCCAGGAAGCAGCCCGTGACAACTGACTAACACCCAGGTACCTATTTTACTGCTAGGTAACAGGGGCATAGGGTGAAAGAAACTCTGCCCATTGTTTCTCGCTGGCGCCTGGGATCAAACCCAGGACCACAGGATCACAAGTCCAGTGTGCTATCCGCTCGGCTGACCGGCTCCCGAGTACCCCAGAGAAGTCATCACTGCCTGATGTTATAATGGAAGGGGACTCCCCTTCCAAACACTAACACCTATCCACCTCCTCCTGTACCTAAATGGATTTTAAATTGCAGCAGTGTTTTAGCATTTACAGATCTGGTACTTTGGCAGTTCCATGAGTTTATAACCCTGTGGGTTAAAAGCTTCTCCTACTTTCAGTCCCACACTGTGGCTTGTTGAGCGTGAAACTGTTGCTCCTTGTTTATGTTACATCTGATCTTTTAACCCTTAGACTGCACAATACATACATATATGATTTGACAAAAAATAATTTAACATAAGTTTTTAAAACTTGCACAAATACTTTCCAATTTTTTTTTTTGCATAATCAACTAGGCATTACTCCAACTTTATCTAAATGATCATAGCGTAACTTGAAAAACAAGAGAATCAAAATTAATTTTAAAATTGAATATTGAAACATTCAGATTTTCAATTCAGAATAAAAAATATGAACTATCATTAAGTGTTCATTTAATGTTATTATTCTCTCAGAATAGCATATGATCTTCATTTCATCAAATTAGAATATAGGTTTTCAGTAGAATTTACTGTAAAAAAAAATTGTCAATACGGCATTTGAAATATGGGGCAAATTTAGACCAAAAAACATTAAAACTCGAAATGTATAAGGTTTATGAAAAATCCATTCTGATGGGATTGTAGAACAGACAGCTGAGCACACAATATGACAAAATAGTG